TATATCTAATTTGAAACAATTTTTTTTTTTTTTTTTTTAAATGTGTATAAAATTAATTGCTCCTTTTAGATCTATTTTTGTATAGATCTTTGTTTGATTGAATTGGTCTAGAAGTTTTGAAATTGGAGATAAAAGATATCTATTTTTAATAGTGATCTTGTTAAGTCTTTAGTAATCTATGTACATCTATAAAGATCAATCATTTTTTTTTTTTTTTTTTTTTTTTTTTTATAAATTAGATAGAAGCTCATGTTAGAGATTTTGAATGGCATATGAAGTTCTTTGCCAAGCCCTTGTCAATATATTCTTTTTATGTAACAAACTTATTTTGTAATAAGTTGTAGATTAGTCCAAATAGAAGTTGAGCTCCTTCTTAAAGATCAATTGAATTATCATATGATCAATGCTTTGAAAGAATATCTGCATTTGTTTTTCAAAAATGTCTTAGAAATCTTAATATTCATTAAAAATATTACTTGATCTCTTTTTACCATACAAAATGAATATAGCATATATAGCTATAGATGTTCTTTCTTTTGCCATGTGCATGAAAGCCTTTGCATTGATTAATAGGAATTTATATGTACTAAATTTATGTATTTTTATTTGACTAACAAATTTTTTGATTAAACTTTAAAAATAATCAAGGTTACAAGAAATACAACCTATTTGAGGATTATACTTTTTTAACCATGATAATCCTAAAATAATTAGATTGAAGAGAAATCTTATTATATTGAATATCACTATGCTATTATGATTTGTAATTATTATATCTAAAGGAATAATCTTATAGATAATATCTCTAAAAGAAAACAAATGACTATCTATGACTTCTACATATAAAGATTTAGTTTTTTTTTTATTAAAGATATTTCTTATTTTTTGACAAAGACTTTGTCTATAAAACAAGCCAAGGTTCCTGAATCTAATAAGGTAAAAACTTTGTGATTTTTAGGACTTAAAGAGACATCTATTGTAAAATGAGATGAGGGATTTGAGGAGAAAATAGGACTTTTACTAGATATTACACATGATTCCAATCGCATAGTTTCAATTGTAGTTGAAAAAAACTCATTTTTTGATACATTGTCTTCTATGGAAACTATGCTCTTCATTTTGTGATTGTGTTGTTTCTTTGGATAATGGTAGATAATATACTTAGCTTCTCTACAATATAAATACAAATCCTCTTGATGACACTAAGATTTATTTTTTTATTCAGTAAAAAATTTAAAACGTACCATATCAATTTGCATTGATTTCAGCTTTAATAAATAAGTTTCTAAAAACTTAAGAATTGCCATTACTACTTGATTTATTCTTCTCTAATCAAATATTTATTTTTGACATCTTTTAAATAGTCGATTATCATATGTAAAGGCTTGAGCAATAAATTATTCTAAAAAAATTACTTTATGCATAATCAATAATAAATCTTTGATATTATCTTTTAATCCATATCAAAATTGATTAATAAAGGCTTTGTCATTTCAATCCACATCACAAATAAGATTTTAGAATTAAGTAGTATATATGGTAATTGATTTTTATTCTTATTATAAAAATAAGAGCTTGATATCTACTATTCTTTCTTGATTATTTTTTCTAAATATAATTATAGATATTTTTAAGAATGAATTCAAATCATAAAGTAGTTGTGAATATTTTTTTATCAAAAATATAAACCAAAAGATTACTTCTTGATAGAAGTGCACCTATAAATCCAACTTGAGTAAATCCATCAAGGTATTGAAAAGATGCAACTTTAGATAGTAATTAACTTATTGCAAAAATCTTTAAAATTTTGATCTTGTTCCATCAAAATTCTTAAGCATAATAATCTTTGCATCTCTTGTGCTTGTAAAAACAAGTCTTCTTAAATTTGGTTGTGAAGTCAATTTACTTGCTTCTCTTAATTGCACAATTTCTTGATATATACTTTGAACTTCTTTCATAGGCATAAAAATAATGCTTCTATGATTGGATTTAGTGATACATGAAATTTCCAATCTAAAAGTATTAACAAGCTTATTATAATTTTTTATAGTTACAAATCTATTTTCACTTTGGCCAAATGTAATATCTATGATTTTTTCTTCTATTTCAAATAACTTAATAAATTCACAAATTAAATTAGAGGAGGATAATCTACAACCTTTAATGTCAAATAAAATTTTCTACAAAAAGAATAATCTACTCTTATTAAGAAAAAAATCAATGTTAGAAAAATAAATATTAGTTCAAATTAGATAGTTCACAACCTTTGAAATAAAAAATAGAAGTCGGATAATCTACTTACTTCTAAAAATAAGATAAAAATAATAAATTAGCGATCTTTTCAAATTATCAAGAACAAGAATTCAAAGAAGATACTTGAACAAGTAAGAAATGAATCAAAGAGAGATGAAAAATTAGAAATAAGAAAGTAAATATATTTAATGAGAAATTGGAATGGCCATTGCCAAAGGTTGGAATATTAGAGACTCTTGAAACTAGATTGGAAATAATAAAAAAAAATTGATAAGGATGAAAAAGGCTTCACTTTTGCTTCTATATATACTATCTACCTAAGAGCTATGTAGCAACATTTTATAGGACCTCCAACAAATGTGAAATTTACGAGATACATGTTTTAACTTGCAAAGCAAGTTTCTTATTTGTATGCCATATCATTAGCATATATCACAAGTTACTAATATGTGTGACACATGGCTAACTTATTGGCCAAATGTCTAACCTACTTATGTCGTATTATGTGTTGTCTTATTTGGGAATGCACTGAGCACCTAGCTATAGAAAGTGAGGTTGTGTTTTACAAACATTTAAGAAATCCTAATAGGTTTCATCTATATAAAAAGATTATGATCTGAATTCCAATTCAAAAGTGCTAAAAAACACTCTTTTTAGTAGCCTCAATCACACATAAACCTCAATTATCTTATTACTTTCAAATTTAAGCATTTTTTTTTTTTTTTCTTATAAGTTCTAATCCTAATTAGTAAGCTTTGACAAGCTGTAACTTCTAATCTGACCGTCCACTTGATGTGAAATTTTGCATGCAATTGTCAATATAAGTCTTCTACATGTTTAAGAATTTTTAGCCTAATCCAACTTACAGATTGTGAGAAAACCTCCAAAAACTGTACTGGTGTAATTTATCGACCAACTTGAAAGGTGAAGCAAAAATTCTAGTGATTTCTCCTTCTCCAACTGTTAACTTTGACTCAAAATTGGTGTGCCCCTTGATCTTTAAGTTCTTCAACATTATGCCAAATTTCACCTTGATCCAATTGATAGATCTATAGATATTACAGAAATCCTATCCAACCCCAAACTGCCAACTTTTGACACCTTCTTACATTAAAACCTAGATTTCTCTCAATTACACTATTAGATTATCACAAAATTTCATATATCCTTAGCAGATCCAATTCAACAAGTATTGCCAAATTTTGAACTATAGATGTGACACGAATTTGACGAACTAGCTAAGAGTGCTAATCCTAATTTTATTGCATAAATCCAAAGTTGCCAATATAAACTTTGATTTTTAATAATGATTGCTAATCAATCCCAAATCCTCCAAAAGCAAGCCTTACATTCTCAGAATAAGTCCCAAGCTGGCTCTTAAATTCTAATCTTTGATCTTCAAATGAATTCCTAATTTGTCCTAGGCAGTCGTTTTAATGGCTAGAGGTCTGATTTCGACCCTGTCTCACAAACGGTCGACCCCAGGGTATCAATCTAATCTATCCTAAGGATTTTTTACTCCAATCCTACCCTAAACTTGATCCTAGTATCAACCATATCAACCATTTACCTCTTCTATCTTGATTTTATCAATTTATGGCCTTTGTAAGGCAATAAAAGAGTTTCTATATCCTAGAAGGTAAAAATACTAACTAACTTTTATCTACTTGCTATTAAGACAAGAAATTAGGCTAAGAGGCTTTCATAAAAGCTTTATTAAAATATTTTTAATTCTTGTTGAACTAATATAATAGAGTATTATTTTAAAAAATCATTTTTAGTCATATTTTTACCATATAATCATATCACAACACAACACCGATTACCTATAAACATGTATAAAAATGAAACTGTATCTACAAAGCTAAAATATTAATACTCATTTTTTATTTAAAATTTTTTATTTAAAATGAGTATTAATATATAAATAAATAAAATAGATGTAATTACACTTATAAATTAATCAATCAATCAACTAATTTTTTAAAAAATAATACATCAATTTTTGCAATATAACTCAATCAAAATAATATACACTAGGTAATAAAAAATTTCAAATATCAATCCTTCATTAATCAAACTTTAGAACAATAACCAAATACTTGGCCTTCTATTAAAGTTTTTTTTGTCTTTTTTTTTGTTTTGTTTTGTTTCGTTTTGTTTTTTTTTTTTCTATAAATTTCTAAGAAAGTTTAACCTTATTAAAAAAATAAAAATATTATTAAGTATCATACTTTGACACCTTTGGATAAAAAATAACCATATCACAACAAATAGTGTTCATAGGCCAATATCCAAACTTCTATGTAAAGTATAGTTGGCACTTGCGCACTACAGACTAGTTGCATAATGAGGGATATAAAACCTACATACAAATCTTAAGAGTCTTCCATTCCATTGCTACATTCGCTGACGTTGTCCGAATTAGGATCAGCTTAGTGCTATTAAGTTTCGGTTCGGCTTGCAATGCTTTTAAGCTGAGGTGCGGTAGGTCTGTGGTTAACCCCACTTACTGGACCGAAGGATCCTCTCTATGAACTCATCAAGTTCGATACTTTTGCCACTGCTTCATTCACATTTGTAGGTGGTGGCTAGTTTCACAAGGTGTTATGTAATCATACTTGATTTGGCTCAGTTTGCATCTAAAGTATGAAGGGCCAAGATGAAGAACCTGCAAATCCTGCAAATGCATGCTGCTGAATCGGTGACAGTGGAGTTTGTATATACACACACATGGAATAGCAAGGTTACTATACAAACATTTACACAACTTTATTTTAAACAACTCGAACATCTACACAGGATACAGAAATGCTCTGCACGAACGGCGAGCAAAAGCAACGAGCAACCACGGCAAAATTTTTGAGGCATGAGGGAGATGCACGACGCATCCACTCGTCCTCCTGGTACTTGACAAAATCCTGTACAACGGCAAAGAGTTACTGAGAACTGTAGGGATCTGAGTGCCCTCCTTGGTAAAACACTGACGTCCTGGAGTCCTAACCCTCATGCTGGTCACGAAGAACGTAGTAGTACTCGCCCTGAGCATGGCGCGGCTGCGAACCTTCATGATAGAATTCGTGTCTGTCAGCTTTCGGCAGTCTGACACATCGTTGGCTGCGAGTTCGCGTGTTTGCAATGTAGGGCTCGGCGTTCTTCGTCTCGGCAGGTAAGATTGCAGTGACTACGGGGCCGTTATGAGCTTGGGAGAGGTTGACGATGACGGATGAAGCATTGCTGGGGTTCGGAGCCCTCAGAGCCTTGGTTTGATATTCAGCTTTGGAAGATTCAGCTCTGGCAGCCTTCGCGCGAGCGTATTCCGCTTGTTCGTAACAAGAGCGGCGATAATCCTCGCTGTAGTCCACCGCCATGTCCCAAAAGGCAGACCGCTTCTTCACTTTCTTCACCCGCTGTAGTACTCTTGCGGGGTCAGCGTGGCCGTAGACTATCGCCTTCTGGTTGTATTGGTCAGTCACCACATTCTCCACGCCCTCCAAATCCAGCAGCCTATCCTTCACCTTCTTAGCACATTTTTCGCAGCACATGGGAACCTTCAATTCAATCGGCTGCACGTATTTCACAGTTTATCAGATTCCATGTGTCAGAAGTTTGTCCAAATTCAACAGCAGTGGATTGGAAAATAGATCGGTAATATCCGAAAACCGTAATCATCATGATTGAACTCTTTTCACGAATGAGTCACGGAGGAACTTGTTCTTGAAGCGGGTGTTTGGAGTAAGTTTGAAATTTGACACTCATGTTTTGAGAAGAGATAGACTTACGTGATGAACTGGGGGTCTCGGAATCGGTGGGGAAATGCTGCGCTTGACAACTTGGGGAGGGGGTGCAACATCGCGGTGCTGAACATGGACAACTTCAGGTGGCGCTGGAACATGAACCGGGACGGGAACCGGAACTGGTACTTCGACAACCTTGCGAATCTCCTCCTGCGGAGCGCGGATGGGAACCTGCTCTGGCACAGTGTGCACGCGAGCCAGCCGCTCAATGGGGCGGATCTCTTGCTCAACGGGATGACTACGCTCATCGCGCACAACGGGCCTTATGTCGCGATCGACTGTAAGAGGAGCTGGTCCGGCAGGCACCACAGGGCGTATGTTACGATCGATGACAGGGCGGTGCTGGACAGGGCGCCCAGCGGGCCGAGGAGGCGAGGGGTAATATGATCTTCTTTGAGGTTCAATCACTTCTCGTACTTTGTAATATTCATGCTCCTTGTATCGACGCGGAGGTGTCTCATCCCGTGTTGGCAAAATCCATGTAGGTTCTGGGGGTCCGTAGAAAAGCTGCACACCAAGGAAATTCACATCCCTCATTCTCAGAATACAGATAAAATTCCCAAAATCTTAGCTAGGAGTCATGCCGATGATCTATTCCAACCATGAGTGCAGTTCACCAACCGCACGCCGAATTCAGTACTTCCGAATGACATTAAAGCCATTTTTCGCAACAGATTGTCTCAAGCAGAACCACAGATTGTACATGTTTGTTCATTTTCGAGAAGCAGAGACAAATCAATGAACTTCACAAGCAGACCAATACGAGGAACCATTCATGACAAAGCATTGGTACATGAGAGGAGCGCAGAGGAATCAGCTGAGGATCAACTTACATCTTCCATAGACGTCAGGGTCAGCATCGCAGCGGGAAAGATACGTCGATAAAGCTTTTGCAACGACTGACAAGCACCCTGAAACAGAACCCAAGTGAAGTTTCCCTAGAAGCTGTCTACTTCGGAGACGGTAAACAGATCTCTAGACGTGAACACTAACTACAGGAAAACTACAAACTCGCTACACTACAACTACTTCCTCTCAGACCACAAATTGTTTGTACAAGACAGAAAGCAACACAAAACTAAAGCGACAAAACAGCGAGATCTGGAAATGCTTAGGGGCAGATTTAAGAGCGCGAACAGATTTGTTTTTTTTGATTTGGTGTAAGAAGAGTATTTACATATGAAACAAACTGCCGTCCAGACGTGGGTTATAAAGGAAATACGCGGAATAGAACTAACAATCAGAGCTTGCCAAAAAGCTACTTGGGCCCCTCTCTTCTGGGCCCCTTCCTGAGCTCACTGGTCGGTCGGCTTGTGGCTTGGTCGGCGGAGGATTGCACACGTGTGATCTGGACAGCCAGAGTGCGGAACTGTTGACTGAGGCAAAGACCAGAGCCAATAATCTGGCCTGGTAAAGTCGCCATGCAAATAAGCTCGAGACTTATTCGAATACTTTCCATTCATATCATAAGTTGTTCTCATCACGAGCACCGGGGATGAGAGATGCACAAAATGGGCGATAAGGCTCTTTCTGATAAAATCTTTCATGGACCCCACTAGCAGCTCCTCCCCAACAAATTAATCCGTCACATATTGTGAATTTCGTCGAAGTTGAATTGTAGATCATAAAGGAGGAATTAGACAAACGGAACTAATCGCAGTAGCCTGGATTGTGTAAATCGGAGTCTCGAGGGTACGTTGGAATTTCGTGAGATGCTTAGTTATGTAATTCCATAGAGGGTTAAATTAAGCAGCTCTGATGGGATTGATCGGCAGCAGCAGACAATTTCGAACCGACATGAAACGGCGGTGTTCCATATATTCGAAACGAAGGTGAAGAACGCTACATTCTGACGGAATGCGACGTTCTGACAGGCTTTAGTCATTTAAATTGTGAACATTTTGTGAAGATCAAGTCTCGTATTTGCGACTTCTCTCCCCGACCGGTCGAAGTGACCACATCGGCAATCATAATTGATAGCTTTAACCAGTTGCCCAAAGTTAACTTTGCAATGGAGTGGGAGACAAGTTCGAATATTCTCTTGCTGGAGCTGTTGGCGGGGAAATTATCACTCTCGAGTCAAAAGAACTACGAAATTCGGGGGAGATTTAATTGCAACGGCCTCAATCTGTGACTCCCAACAGATTTAGCAACTGTCCTGGAACCCTGGAAACGGGCCCAGGATCGATTTTTTTTTTTTTTTCTTTCTTTTTTTTTTTTAATTTTAAGATGCTTCTATTTGTTCTACAAGATTATTTGTTTGATTGCCGTTATGAAACGCACGATGATAGACTTGGAAGTTTCAACGCCTAATCCGATATTTCCAGCTTGGGAATGATATTGTGGTTTACGAGCTTGCGTGGCAATCAATCAGTGGAATATCGAACCTAAGCCGCGTTGTTGATGGCCGAAAGCAACTAGGGCCCCATGTGTCTCGATTAAAGGAAATGGAATGAAGACGGAGAAACAGAAAGCGATAGTCGCAAAGGACACCATAGGAAGAGGATGAAGCTTGGGAGCCTCATCTATCCATAAACACAGCATGAAAGTGGCATGTATAGGCCTGGTTGCGGGCCATGTGCTGTTGTCTTGCATACAAAAGTCGTGCTTAGGAGCTCCTTTTCGGTTGCTCAGAAGTCGACTATTATTCACCCTAAAACATCATGATTCTGGTACACGAACTGGGTAGGGCCTCACATCGCTATACCCGTCAAGCCATTTGAGAATTATGAAGATAAGACGCAATCTCCATGGTTATCGACGAAACTACTCTCTGCACTGACGTGACAAGGATGGAGGTCAACAAGGATCTCGCTGTCGATTTGAACCATTTCATGGGATTGTTGGCCACGAAGTCTCATTATCTTCGAAGTTTCCTTCTGCTTCTGATTCGCAAATTGGAGTCATCAGAGTATTAATTTGCTCATGAAGAGCAGTTCCAGTGCAACAGGTGCCGAAAACAGAAGTGTGTAGCAAAATATCTTAAAATCCATCCTTTACTGCTTCATAATCGAAAGAAACATCACAAACAGAAATCTTGACCCTTGTGAGGGTGGAATCAAAATTTTATGTCAGTCTTTAAAGCGAGTTTTATGAATGAGCATCAAGAGCCCCGACTGGGTCCGCAAAAACTACAGATTCTAGAGCATCTGTATTAAAGATATTAATCCTAGTCATTAGTATCTATTTTTAATAGATGAACTCCAATTGATGAGGTGCGGTAAATCGATCGCTGCTACATGTGCCAGCCGGTAACAGTAAATGGCTAATCCAGTTTGTATTCACTGTACCTCCTGCCGACGTCTCTAACTACCTGATTACCACCAGCAATTTTTAAGGCCTCGAAATTTAACCTGATTTGCTCGTTGGTGTCTAAAACGGATGCCTGAGCTGGAATCTGGTCCTAGATTGTCATTTTGTTTCGATGCTACTGAGTCTGATTTAAAAAACAGAGAGTTGGTTGCAGTTCTCATACTACAAACGCAGCGCCAGGTAAAATTGCAGCTGCAACAAGCCCTGATATGGATTGATTAGGAGATGGATTTGCTGCGCTTCGAGCAGGAGTCGTGGGTGACGCCGAGGGAGCGACAAGGGTGCCATTGTGTGGAGGAGTCGGTGCAACTGCTCTGGTTGTCGTTACGTGTATGGAGAGCTTCATGCCTCCTCCTGTTTCGCAATGGCCGGGAATTGAGCATATACAGTAGAAAAAGCCCGTTGAATTTAGTACAATCCTATCAGCACCGCTCGTCCATCTCTGCAAGGTCACCCTCGCACAATTGTCGAACTCCGTTTTTCTACTGTATCGCACAACGTCGTGACCACCAACTGTGTAATTGAACACTGCATTTCCACGACACCACCACATAGATAATTTGATAAAAAAATTTAATACAGAAATTTTCACAAGGAAATTCAATGCGTTCAAAGTGCGAAGGCGTGTACTTGCTCTAACAAAGAAAACAATCTCCCAGGAGAAATTCTGTATCATTGTATTCGTCGACGACTACATTGGAATTCGATTGCGGGCATTTTGTAGGAAAATTGACATGAGGTCATTTTCAAAGAAGCCATGTCGCAATAAGAGATAAAGGGTCACAAGCAATAGAAGGAAAACAACTAGTGTAAAACATCATTAACCATTATTCTTTAACTGAACTGCAAATTCTACGTGAAACTGGTCCCGATCATCCAGGATCAAATGGGGTCTTGGGCAAAAGTCTCGAGTTCGATTCATGGTACAGATAAAGAAGCTCTAGACCACCATTCGATAGTGTGCAAAGTACTTCCGCAAGCTAAGAAGAGTTCGACAACTTGACAATGGTTTGTGCAATACGGTGAAATAGAGAAGCACCGTCGCGCTGTGAACCTCATTGAAAACCTTTCAACATCTAGAATGCTCACACTTGACAGAATCAAAACCAGTGTGGATTCGCTACAGCCACATTATACAGTTTCCCGTTTTCAACAGCTGTAGACTCTCAGCTTCCGCAGACCACCAAGAGAACCTCTATCCACTCATTGACAAGACCTAAGGAGCCTCTCACCTAAGACATCTCCGACGAGAAAGATGTTGTTATTGGCCCATGTTTGGTAGTAGGTATTGTTGGTCCCCGTGAGTAAACTCCAATTACCTGTTTGACCTCGCGCAACGTGATCGACGGCTTGGGCTGCAGGGCTCACGGCGAGCAGCCCCAAGATCAGAGAAATCGTCAACATTATCTCATGACCTGCACTGTCTATTCCCTTGCCTTTCGCCATTCCCAGCATCACAAGATCCTTTTAGACACGTACTCTGCTCGTCCTTGCGAAGTACAAATTCCGGTTTACTAATTGCGAGGGACGTTTTGAAGCCTGTGACCTGCAGTCTACATTAACCACGATAAAGATTAACTCATGAAATAGAATTACAGTTGCTGCCAGCATAGCACATTAATATTACTAAATTTAACATTCGATCGGCTCCTCCAGAATTCAGTGAGAAATTACACCCCAAAATCTAGAGGACGCCACCAGGCGGCGATTTGACTTAAAAGTGAAGCAATGCAGATGTAGTAAGACTCAAGAACTTGAAACTAAGCTGCTTCGACTACTTTTGCACCCAGTCTCACCGCCCACGTCTATGATATAGTGTGATTTCAGCTCCAGCAGCTTGCGATTGGGGTGCTACAAAAGTCTGCACCACTTCACGCCAGATCGCCGAGACCGAAGTCTCACCTTATTGGTGGATCGATTGAGAGCTGCAGACTTGATCACGCTTGATCGATGTCGCCGATATGGTTTGCTACGTGGCTGCAAGAGCCTCATCTATGATTTCTGAGGTCACCAATAAACACATACACGTATATATATATATATATATGCACATCTGGACACTGACTGACCAGCTACTAGGCTTGAGGTTTGAGCCTTAATCAGTTCTTTTCCTGTGGTAGATTTTCATGAGACTGACTTGCTGGTTGAGTTTATCTGGCTATTGTGTAAATCCTGCAGCCTCGAGTGTGAGTATTTTATAGCTTCAGTGATTATAGGGTCTTCCGAGTGTCACGCCAGCAGTTGCAGATCACGTGGGAGTGCTCTACTATGCTTGCACTGTTTCAATGTGGAATGATCGCATCCATCTTGATCTCTGCTGGACTTCAGAGCATCTGCGATGCGATATGTCTCAAGCTCTGCGTTCACATGATATCCAGCATTCGGCAATTGAAAAATATTCACTCTTTTTATTAGCCAAAATCATCTCTTACATTTCTGCGCAGTATTCAGTCCCCGTGATCCCGTTTCCTCAAAACATGATTTGACTGCCTATTTTTGACTGCTTTGGTTACTATGACGCATCCGTCGCGCGCCTTCGCGGCTTGCTCGATGGATGCAAATCTGAGGCGGGGGCCAGTTCAGGGTCGCAACAGGACGCTGGAGCCATCCTGCGATCTCCGCTTCGTAGCTCTATGTCTAGAAAAACACCTTCGAAGGATGAGCTTTGCGATGGGATTCGATACGGGTATATTGTGCGGGTATACTGGTTTATATGCGGGTTTCCTCCCTCACCTGTGTGCTACACTCATCACTTTTAAGTTAAGGGCAACCAAAATAAACGGGTAAGCCAAAAGTTTCAAAGCCTATCCAAGTTCTTAAAACTGGAAAAACATTAATTCCATAAAGCATTCTTCTCAATCTCCAATCTAAGGATTGATTGAGGA